AAAAGTATAATGCTCAAAGAGGGTTCTTATAAGTATTCATGTATTGATCAGTATTATTTCATATCCTGTGCTCTTTTGGCATTTTATTGGTTGCTCTACTTCCCTATAAGAGTGTTGTTTTGTTTTGTGATATTACAGACTGCTTGGCTTTGATGTCATTATTTCCTCAGCAAACCCATTTTGCTGCCTTCTGCTTTTGCTTATGGATCTTAAAGTCATATGATCTTTAAAGCAAGTGGATAAATATTCATTTATTTTTCTTTTTTCCTTCCCAATGCAGCCCTCTTCCTCTGTAGAGACTCAGGATGTAAGAATACCTTAATTCGAACTTTTCTTACATAAACACACCCAGTCTTGTGCTATACCTTCGTACCATTTGTAGAGGCCAGAGAGTAGCCGTGTGGGACACCTTTGTTGGACAGTGGGAGGGTAGGGGGCAAAAGGTCCCAATCTTTTGTGTCTAAAACCACAAAGTGTTAAGAGGAAGAATTTATGAAACAGCACTAAACAGATGCCAAGGAAGATCATTTGAGAATTTGAAAGTGTTGCCACTTCGTGCAACCAAATCTGTTGCATCTGTTACCAATTCTTAGTCTCTTTATGTCAAACAAGTCTGACTTCCATTCATAGTTATAGATCGTTGGGTTTAAGATAGCTTATCAACGGGGAACTAGGGGATGTGGTTTTGGCAGTTGAAAACCAGCCAGAGAACACAAATAATTGTTCTACATATATTTATTTTAGGATAGGAAAAGTGGTAGAGCAGACAGCGACCCAAAACAGAAACCCTCTTTTAGGTCCATCAGTACCAACCTGGCCTCCAGCATCAAGAGACGTAGGTCCTCCAAAGACACGGTAAGGAGGTTAAGGAATGGCATCTCTTTTCACTCAGCCGGTCTCTCTTCCTCTTTCTGCGTCTGTCTTTCTCTCGTCCTATTCTTCCGCTCCTCTCTCTGTATCTACTTTCTTCTGTCTTAAATGACATGTCATGTCTGAAACCAAGAGAGCCGCATTTCTCTCTGGTTATTCCTCCATTCCTGGCATCTCGGCCACGGCCACGTGTCTGTCAGTCAGTCATCAAGTCACCATCCAGACCCCATCTGTCAGTTAGGACTTAAGAGCTCAGCCATCCTTAAGAGTTAAGTTGAAAGGTTTTAGGACCCAGTGATCAGGGAAAAGGTTCTAACCTAAGAGCTGTTCCAAGAGGAGGGGGTGCTGCACAATGCCTGATGTTTCTGGGCTGCTTCTCTCCCTATTGCAACCTCTGGATGTGGAGTGTGTGTTAGTGCGGGTGGACGTGTGTGCCTCTTTTTGGTAGGATGTTCTGTGTGTATTTGTGTGTTTCTCGTCCCCAAATCTGCCTGACGTTATTAATATGAACAGTCAAATCTTGCGATGTCTGTTTCCCTGACGGCATGCTTTGGTGTTGTGGTGTTTGATCAGAGCAACCGATACCATGCGGACTAACTCATTTTTTTTAAACAGCGGAACTTCCCTTTCAGACTTTGGAATCATCAATTAACAATGATTTTCTTTTGTACAACTGTTTTGTTTAAGGTCCTAACAAAGTTTATTTCAAGGAATGGGAATTTGAAAATGAAAATTCTGTCATCATTTACTCACCCTCATGTTGTACCAAATCGTGGAGTGTGTGTTAGTGCGGGTGGACGTGTGTGCCTCTTTTTGGTGGGATGTTCTGTGTGTATTTGTGTGTTTCTCGTCCCCAAATCTGCCTGACGTTATTAATATGAACAGTCAAATCTTGCGATGTCTGTTTCCCTGACGGCATGCTTTGGTGTTGTGGTGTTTGATCAGAGCAACCGATACCATGCGGACTAACTTTTTTTTTTAAACAGCGGAATTCCCTTTCAGACTTTGAAATCATCAATTAACAATGATTTTCTTTTGTACAACTGTTTTGTTTAAGGTCCTAACAAAGTTTATTTCAAGGAATGGGAATTGAAAATGAAAATTCTGTCATCATTTACTCACCCTCATGTTGTACCAAATCTGTATGATTTTCTTTCTGCCGTGGAACACAAAAGGAGATAGTGGAATGCCCAAGCTGCTTTTCTCCATTCAATAATAGAAGACAGTGACCAAGGGCTCTTAAGCTCTAAAAAACATAATAAAAGTACCATAAAAGTAGCAATTTATGTGCTATATTCAAAGTCTTATAAATAAATCATAAAACATGCAAGAACTAATGACGTTTGATATCAATGATGTGAACCTGGCAAGATACATCAAGTTTGAATGTGTGCAGTAAATGAATTAAATTTGAAAGCTATACAAATTTTCAGCAAACAGCTCAAATTTCAATCTAACCCTCCTACAAAATTGTGTGGCTTTAGAAAACTTAGAATATAGCGTTAACAGCAAAATTATTATTATTATACAAATAATCATTATATCATTGTTAATATTAATTTATCTTTTTATTATAACAGATAAGATTACTGTGCTGCTATAGTAAAACCTTTCTAGATACAGAGAAAGTTAGTACTTTAAATACAATATACTTGTATTTAGTATAATATAAACAGATCAAGTCTACAAATTTTATAACTGTTGATTTTGATTAACTTTAATATGATTTGCTATGGCACCACAATTTATTAAATAGGACCTAAACAAAATGTTACATTTTCTAACATTTTGTTTAGGAATTATATTGCATATTTTTTCCTTTTTAAATTTTTAAGAAAACGGGGAGAGTGGGTTGGGGTGGTGAATGGTGAAGAAAAGGCACAACAATCCAGGTGAAAAGAGAAAAACAATAGTAGCCATCCACAGTGTTTAACCATCCTTTTATTTCTTGATATCAGTGTCACCTCTCTTTCTATATAAGTGGATGTATATGGATTTATAACTGTCGACGTCCCCCACATGATGTACATGCTACACAGCCTCTCTCTTCCTCTGCAAGCATGCAATATATCTGTCGTAGAAGTAGAGACTGTGTTTTGGTTGCCTTAGTAGAAGTAGTAGCATTTGTTTGTGGTAGTGATGATACACACACTTTTTGTCTCTTTTGCTGATTCACTGTCTCTCCCCAGGGGGCACTGTGGGCTTGAAAGTGCCAACAGCAAGCCTTCTAAGTGAACATAACAAGAACTCTCTCATGCTCTCTAAGGCGTGCTAAGGGCATTCTTGATGCAACACCAAGGAAGAAAGAAAAAAAGCCTCCCGGTGTCATCAGAAGTATTGCTGAATACATCTATTCTGCAATATGATGATGATGATCTTGGCAATGAGAACTTTTGCCTTAAGCTATGGCTTTTAGAGTTGTTGCATCATATATTGAGCTTATAAGCTTATTTATTTGCAATGGCATAGTAATAAAAAAAGAGTAAGCTATAAAAGAGGACACATGCTATAATTAGTAAGATAAATATTAAATTCATAATTAATATGTTTAGTTGTTAATAAGAAATTTTATTTTGAAATTAAACATCCAAACATTGCATGTGTCTTTGGTTTTTGCAACAAAAAAAAAATCCTTTTAAAATTTAAAGCCATCTGAAACTCTTTGCTGCTGCTTTTCCATCAATATATGCATTTTGCTTTTTGAAAATGGATTCCTTAGGTATATATAGTCAGTCTTGATTAGCAGATTGCCAAAAAAAGAAAAAAAAAATGTTTTTCAGCTTAACCAATAAAGCTCTCTGTGCCTCAATTTCACAGTTTGCCACAGCAAGGAACAGAATTTAAAATGATAATAATGAAATAATCCTGTCAGAACAAAATACTTTGTTTTAATCAAAATGTCCTTGCCGTTGCAACATGGCAAGCCTCACTGAGAGACATTTTATAGCTTACAAAAACTGAAAGCAAAAAAATGTTTTGTTGTGGTAATTGCCTTCTGACTGGGCACCTACATGTCACTGAGTGTTTTGCCAACCCAGCACTGCAGATGCCCATGTGAGAAAACAGCTTGTTGCCCTTCTAACACATCTAAGCTTGAGATGAGGAAACAGGAACTGCAACTAAATGAGAATTAAATATATATTACAGATATAAATATGCAGTGCGCCAGAAAGTATTTGAACATTTGAGCCAAGTTTAAAAATGTATTAATGTCATTGCATTAGACAACAAAATATGAAAGCAACTGATATTTGTGTCCATTAACAAACTTTAGGTGAAATACTTTGGTTGTTAGGTTTTAAATTTAAATAAAAACAAATATAATACTGTTCTAAATAAATATTAAAAAAAGTATTTCTGGATACCTTCTGGACACTTTCTGGTTGAAAGTTCTGGCTGAAAGTCAAAAATGCAACCAATGTCCATTTGGTAATGTTATGAACCACAACTGTGTTTACTCTGCTAGGGCGCCAGTGCAAATGTAAGGGGATCTGATATCATATATCCACTAGAAACCACATTGAGCCAAGTGGGTTAAAAGCAACTGCAAATATAGCTTGGAAAAAAAGGTCATTGGTTAACATCACTTGTTTGCAGATGCCAATTGGTTTATATTTCATTATATAATGCACTGACATTCCTATTTTTAAGTGTGTCGCAAGCGTCCAAATACATTTTGACTTTTGACCCAATAATGCCGACATAAACAACACATAGGTTATTAGGTGACCTAAAACCATCTCACAGCAGAGAACCTGCTTCCTCTTCTTTGAATATTATTCTAAATACCACCTAAGGCAGCAAGATAGCTGGAAGTACACTTCTCCCACACCGTTTAAAATTTTTATAACCTCCTTGAATGTAACAGAACTTATGTGTTGTGTTCAATTGTAAAACATAGCCATTTAAATGTTTCAGAGTCCTGGCCTGAAGGCAAAATTTAGTGCAATGCATTGTGATGACATCTGAAACATTCAATGGTTGAGTCCTTGTTTTGGATTTGCATGCTACATGCTGCCTTGGGGGTAAAGACGGAAATTCCGTTCTGGGCTTTTGGGGAAGAGGAAAGGTAACAGTCGCATTAATGTTCTCTATCCTGTGTGTTTTCTACCTTCTCTCTCTTTCTACAGCAATACCCACCCACAGACATTACGGGCCAACTCAACTTGTCCGACCCGTCTGTCAGCACGGTGGTGTGAGGCAGAGAAAGAGGGAGAGTTTAACATAAAGACATGCTCATTCTTTAGAGACAAACAAGATGGAACTAGAGAGGAGTGTTGTAGTACCGCTCCTCTGGGTTTTGCACAATGGATCCATTACGGACGAGAACTACTGAGCCACTTCACCTTTTTGAAGAACCAGTGGGACCTGTTGGGACTTGATGGTGGACTGCAGGGGATGACATGACACTGCAATGCACTGGAGCACTGCGAACAAACAGACCATATAAACACATACACCTTTATAGCTTGATGCTAAAATTAGTATACACTAGGGTGACCATACGTGCCATTTTCCCAGGACGCATCCTGACCAGGATTTCTATATTGCCTAAAATATCTAGGTTTTGGCTTTGTTTGCGTGTGCAGACCGATCGGTGTATGACATCAAAATACCATACAGACAGTTCCTTATGCTTTCAAAATGCGTATTACTCTCGAGGTATTTTGATGTCATACACCGATCGGTCTGCACACGCAAACAAAGCCAAAACCTAGATATTTTAGGCAATATAGAAATCCTGGCCAGGACGTGTCCTGGGAAAATGGCACGTATGGTCACCCTAGTATACACTATCATTCCATCCACCAGAACTTCTTCTGTATAAATTCTTTATGATTATGTAGAAATATTTCTTATTAGTATCAGCCTAGTGCTTACTCTTATGTTGATTAAGTGGTCTAAGTATTGTACAGTATAATTTAGAACAAAGAACAAACTTTTCATGTCTCAAGGCCAATTCTAAGGCCAGTATTTAGAGAATTAACTAGTTGTATATGTATAAGATTAATTCTAGTCATCATTTACATATGATATGTATCTTCTTTACATTTTTTATTGTTTTACTTGCTTTCTGTTCATTGTTTTTCATTCTTTGTCTATATAATCTATAAAGCGAAAAAGTCAGCCAATCAAGCACATTACCGCTGTTTCAAATATCATTATCTTTCATAATCTAAAATCTCTTTGCATGTAATATGCATGCAAATTTGTCCCTAAAAGTTTATGGACAAGAAAAAGTATACAATTAAAATGTTAGATTTAAGATGTGGCTTACTGCACATCAGTTAATTGCAAATTCTCCTTCAAAACTCAACAGTTCTTCCTCTTGAAAGTTCTTACGCAGTCGTTCTCAACTTTAGTCTGAAGGGTGCATCAAGGGGCCGAGTTTTTTCATCCAACTAGCACTTGGTGTCTCATGCAAAATCATCTCTGTGTGTCATCCCCACAGACGACCTCAGAGATTTTTTACATGAGAAAACCCCAAGTGTGCCCATTTATTTTCGACACTGGTGCTGTAGTTTCGTATACACCTATTAGTTAGATGGCAAAACTGGCCCGTTCCCAAGTTCTGGGGTTGAGAAACGTCAACAAAAGCTGTACAAATAAAGACTGCTTACTGTAAATGTTCACTTAATGCTATTTATATGATCCATGGAAAATCCCCTATAAGAGAGATCACCTATCTAGCATTTTAATGTGAATCTGTCGGAAGATATGCGTATGGAAATTATGCAATTTGCCAAATGTTGATTGTAATACTCATACTTGATATGAAAATGCATATTTGAGAATGTGAAATATATTATATGTAACTGTTAGCCGTTTGTTTTTTAACAAAACACTCCTTTTCTAGTTTTCATATTTCAAAAGATTTAGACATATTTGTTTCTGCTATATATCAGAGTTAAACTGTGTCAAATTAGTGCATACCACATATATCTTCTGTTTACTACTATTAACTTACACTACTTTAGGTTTAAGTCTTTTCAAACTGACAGGAGTATGTACAGTATGTTTTTTCTCATTGCTTGGGTCAATGAATGTGGTTAGTACTTCAGAAGAACTATGTATTATACCTGATTTCAGTGCATGTGAACACTGAATTCAGTTTATGTTGCCTGGACTAATAGATTGCAGATGACTTTAAGAAGTTGTTGAAAAAAAAGGAGTGTTTTTATTAGAAACTGTCACACTGTAAATGACACACAAGCACAATTACATCACATATCCTGAGCATAAGTCTTACTTTAATAAATGTTACATCATGTTTCAGTTAATTTGAGATATTTCTTCAAATGAACACATAATGTTTGCATTTTGAGAAAAATATATAGAAATAACATTTCTGTGTGCCAATAAATTTGTGCCATGTCAGTTGCAGACAACAACTAAGTGTCTTTTCAATTTTGTGAGCATAATATTATATTCACTACACAACTATCCATGAATTTATTGAATTTATTTCCATGATTTCCAAATCACTATGTGTGTGTGTGTGTGTGTGCCAAATTTTGAAGATATATTTGTACCCAGAAGTGACCAAAGCTTGACAGTCTCCCAAAGCCTTGCTTTGAGGACATCCTCATTTATAAAACTGGTATAATATACAGTATATATATATATATATATATATACACACACACACACACACACACAC